ACTAGAAACAAGTGCATCGCTACTAGGAACAAGTGCATCGCTACTAGGAACAAGTGCCTTACTAGTAGTAACAAGGACGCTACTAGGAACAAGTAGTTCATTCAGTTTCAATTGGGCCTTGAGGCCGCCAGTCTCGTGGACCACAGGCAGGGTTGCATACCTAGACCACTGCTTAGCCGCCAAGACTACACACCGAAGGCATTGTAATTCTTTCATCTGCTTTCAAACATATCTGTATCTGCTTTTTTCAGAGCTTTCTTTCCTTCCTTTCTTGTTTTCATTTGTTTTCAATCTCTTCTTCTTTTTTCTGCTCTGTAGATCTTTCTTTCAATCTCGAAGTGAAGCAAATGAATGTGCTTCTTCAAGGTGCTGCTGAGCATACATCTGGGGCAGGCCACACGGTTCATACCTGGAATCAGCATTCAGCTCAAGACGGGACCGGGCAAGTGAAGACGGGATTCGTCAACAAGGAATAAGCCCACTTGATAGAAACAAAAACTCAACTGGAACAACTCGCACTGACATTCTGGTTGCAGTATGTTGGTTGAACACTGTTGGATGCTGTGTTGAAGAAAAAACAACACAATGGATGTGGAAGAAAGGTGGCTGTGCGTGACAGTTTCTGTGAACGCCGAGGGTGCTGTGAGGGCATAAGCAGAATGTCGCAGCCCGCCATCATCCGGTGCTCAATAATTGGATCAAACCCAACCTTAGCAAAACGAACTGTCTCTTAGCAAAACTCACGAACTTCCTTGTATGTGTCTGGAATTTGGTCTCCTTGGCCGCTTTTGCCTTGTGCGGCTCAGCAGCAAAGGCGCAAACTCGTCCAGGAAAAGACTCCTGCAGGCGGAACCGGCACATCTCATAATTCTTCGAGGGGCAGAAAAGGGTCCCAAAAAAGGAAAAACACAAGAAGGAATCAAAGGCCTAAGGCATTGCAAACAACACAAACAAATAAGTAGACGGTCCTTTCCCCCTTTTCCATTGTTTAGGACAATAATTTCAATTTAAAACACATATTGGAGCGCAATCTTAGGAAACAACGCGTTCTTGCTTGTACAGTATGTCATTCAAACACAAAGCGCTTCAAGCAGCCCACTTGCCAAACACTAGAAGGGAGACAATTTAAAACAATTACATACTCCCTCTCTCTCTCTGGCTCTCTTTCTCTTTCTCTTTGTTGCTCTTTTCTCACTTAGTCTCTCCATAAGCATGTGACCTGTCTTTGTGATTTCTAGAAATGACGCGTCTGAAAGTCATGGCACCTCAGCCTTCCTCAATTGACTTTCGTACTTCAAGTCACCTTTGCCCATCATCCTGCCAGATTTCTGAAGAAAGCAAGCAGAAAACCAACATGTAGGTTGGAGGCCATCGCTAACTCAAAAGAAGACCGCCTATTTCTATTAAGTTTGTTTTCTCCACCAAGACTGCTCTTTGGGGCCCTTGCGCCAGTTGAACAAAGCCGTTCACTCCGTTGCCCTGCCACTGGCTCAAAGGCGTGGTTTATGCGATGCTTTCTGTTTTGCAAGATGCTACTAGTAGCTTCTAGCTACTAAATTAGTTTAATTTAATACTAATTATTGTTTCTACTAGCTTCTTGTTACTACTAGTAAGGCACTTGTTACTAGAAGCGATGCCAGGAGCCCCTAGTAGCGGGAACCTCGTAGCTGGTACCGTTTTGCGGGATGGACAAACCTCGATCCGAGAACTGAACCGCCTCATCGCGCATCAGCCATGACAGGCAGTCCTGCTTTAGCGGATTGAGGCGGATGTCACCAGGTAGTCAAAATTCAGTTCTTGGTGAAGGAAAAGGAAGATCAACAAAGAAAAACGGTCGAACATAAGGAGTTTTCGTCAGTTCTGGCAATAAGAGGCAGTATGGTTGAATATTCCAATAGTACTTGAACCTCCAAGCCCATCTTGGGAGCATCGTGCAATCAGTCCAGAATGAGGTGGATGCCCTTCTGGAAGCAAAGCCGACCACAAAAGCCGATCAGGCATAGCTTTGGATCCTGGCGTCACAATCTAGCCGGAAATCAATGCTTTGAGCGTATCAAGTCAGCTTTTAACTTGCAGTATATAGTTGACTTTTTTGGCATGCTAGTCGGATTTTGGGATT